CAGTGGCGACCACATGTGCCACACCACCATGCGCCCGACGTCTGTCGCTTCCGCACTTGCCGCTTCTTCTCTGCATGCACGAAGGCTTCAGCTATTGGCTTCGTGATTAGATGGCGGCATTTAGCCGATCAATCGATTTCGATTCCGATGAACCGCAACAATGATTAAAACCTGATAGGTTTAATTTGATCATGTGCAAATAAGGTAACTTCGGTATTCCTACGTACCCTTTCGCTTCACTCAGTAGACTACAGAGCTGCAATTTCGTTATCCGGGTCGAATCCACGCGACGAATAGCCCCCGTCACCACATGTGCCTGAGCAAATTTATGAAGTCCACTGTATGCATTCCACTGCGTTGATGCACCTCTTGTCTGCAACTCGACCAGTCAAGCCGATGTGTATGATATGGCTCAGACAATGCTGATGGAAGCGTAAGGCTAGTACAAATCCGATCCCAAGTTCACGAGGTAGTAAGGTGACGTTTCCCACCCAGTAGAATGTATAGACTGCACCAAATTCGTGCAACGTCCCTTGCTCAGCGAGCCGAATCTCACTGAGCGCCACAATATCCATATCGTAGCTCGCCAGTTCCATTGCGACTAGTGTAAGGTGTCCCTCCTGACGCTCATTCGTATTCCGCTCGAGTAAAGTATGCACGCTCCAGCACCCAATGTTGAGCGCTCTACGCGGAGGCGTGCGATTGCATTGGTGGGCAACCGTGTGGGAGGTGACGTCTTGGATTGGAGGAAGTAGTGCGTTACTTGAACCGGGGAGAGGGAGAGAATGTGACGGGGAATAAGGAAGAAGGGAGGCACCAGCAGTAGCATGTTCTCGCTTATCCACCCCGCTGTATGCAGCCGATGCCGCGGCCTATTTTCTAAGGCCTTTGAGCGAAGGCCGATATAGCATGGATTTATTATTATTTGAGAAGTTCATGGTTGGGGGATTGCACTTGGATACTGCCAGGTCGCCCGTACCTGACAGGAGAACGACTCGGGGTCCTCAGACAAAGCCTTCGATAAAGTATGCATCCGAAAAGCAGCAGGCCGAACGCCATGAGTCTGTGAACCGACTTACGTGCAATTGTGTCCTGCATCTTAGCTAGAAAAAGGATGTAACGCAACACCCACCCAACGGTCGACACGAGGAGGCGTCCGGGACATGAGCCCACGGCACAACATCAGCAGCAGCGGGTAAACCACCTGTCAGGATCTCATCACTACAAGCTTCAGCGTACCATGGGCTCTCCCGCCACGTTCACGTTACTAATAAGCTTGAACTCGATAAAAGATAGGAAGTACGCACAAATAAAAGAGCCAAGACAATTTCAAAATAAGAAACAGCAACGGATCTTACACTGAATCCTGAGGATACCCATATTAGTAGTACCTATGCATTAGGTAACACCACCAAACCTAAAACGATTTGTCGTACAGTGTCGGAACGCGACGAGCCAAGAAGGCCGCTGAGCCTGGAGTCCAATACCGGTCATCCATTCTAGCAAGAAGCGGTAATTCACCGAATCCAAAGGTCTAGCACAGTCCCTTCATCAAGACACCGAGTTATTTCAGTAGGGAAACGCAGCAGGTTAGTGAGCATGACATTCTCTTCATAAAGCCAAGCTGTTTCACTCCGAGCAAGTTGTGAGCAGTCAGACGCTCACAGATTCGATCATTAGTGAACTTTTTCAGGCACATCTAACATACGCTATTCAGATTAACAGGCCTGTAATCATTTTGTGATGATTTAGGAGCACATTTATGGATCGCCACTAAAACTGCCTCCTTCCAATTCCGCCGTACCCTTCATTCACGATAACGTATGCTGTACAGTTCGAGAACTAGAAGCTGGAAAATATCGCCAATTGGCTTGATCACGGCTGGAAGCAGAACCAGTGTATTTGTTGGGGTTTAAGTCATTCCGCACAGTGAAGAAATCTGATACCGTTAGTAGATTTTCTTCATTTTCCCCGCTATAACACGATGGGACCGCGACCGGAGAGAATACCGCTGTCCACTAGCTGAAGTTTGTCTCCTGTGATTAAATTGTCAACGACTTAAGGGGGACTTCGACTGCACCTAGCTATAGGACGTTTCGGATTCGTCCATTAAACTATACACCATTCTACGCTCGGATGAGTGTTTGGTCTGTTTGTGCAATTTAACCACCAATGTGACGACCAAGTTGTGACAGTTTTGTGCTTCAGCCACCAAAGGAATCCACCGGACTCCTTGCAGCTTTTCCATAAAGCATTACGTCGTCTCTTCCTTACAATCAATTCTTCGACGCCACTAACGAGGCTTGTCCGATTGGCACATTCTGTGCAAAATTGTGAATTCATCCAGTTGCTGCGTGAGACCGCTTTTGATCATATGCTACCTCTGTTCCTGTGTTGCCTCTTCCTTTTCAGGAACGGATGTGATACGCATAGCTCTATCCCTCAATTTACGTGTCAAGCGAAGTTCAGCTAAGAGCTGCGGCAAATTATGGCGAAGTTAACTACGGTCATCGCTCCTACTAATTAGGTTACTCCGAAATGTCTGACGACAGATAAAGATTAGTGACCTCATATACAGGTGAAGAATTCTTCCCACCGTCACTTCAAGTGGCAGTAATGACATAATCGGCGAGTACCTTTGACCTTATTCATCACTGATCTCACAGATGCTCTTGATCGGGAAGAATTGACACTCCTGGAAGTGTCGTTGGAGGGTGCCTCCTTAATTGCGATATCTGGTGACTATCTGTCTGTTGCTTTTGCATTAGTGGCAGTAGTCTTACTCGTTGGCTCACACGCAACCTGAACCACCGTCAGCAGATAATTCGCTGCCATGTTCTTCAGCAAAGTAGCATACGACCTTTCGAAAAAACGTAGATTTTTAGTGACCTGCTGAAGGTCGAGTTGTTCAGAAGTCGCGTTACGTGGGGAAGTGCGACGGAAATAGATAAAACGATCCCTGTTGTGTGTTAATCCTCGAGCTTCACCGTAGATGATTTCCGTTCGTTGATTCTGAAGAAGAGCTTTTGTTTTAAATCACGGCTCACCAGTGCAACCAATCCGATTTTAGCTTGCTTCAACAGTGCAAATGAAGTGGCTGTGGATCTTGATGCCAGCCTTTAAGGAGCCACCTGATACATACCATTAGCTTGACTAGTTAACAGATTAGCTCGGTTAAGATTAAGACCATGACACATTAGATACTTCAACTGCAGCAAAATCTGTCTTGCATAGACCCTCGAGTGCAAAGCTTTTAGGTCCGTCTATCTGTCAACTCGATGGATCCTCTCGATGCCAATGCAAGGCGATATACCAACAGTACGGAGTATATGGCAAACACATCCCTATCCAAATCACGCCTATCCTTAGCTAACCCTGTTACCGATTCCCCACGTTGTAAATAAGCATGTGTCTCTACCTGCCCAAAGAAATTACCGTACTACGCACATACTGACCGAAATGTGAGTGTTACTCATCAACTTTTGCTCGCTGCACATCAACGAGAGTTTCTTGTTCCCGATCATCTTCTCTGTCATGATGATCGTTTACCTCTTCGACACATGACGTAGGTGAACCAGAAGTTCGCCAACCAGGAAACGTATGCAGGTGTCCGCCAGGCGCACTCACACACACATACACGCTGGAAACGAATCCAGCTCAAAGTTGCTTACGGATCTCATTAGCTGAGTGTTCGGAGCATCAGCCGGGAATTAGTGGGCTCTGCATTTTAAACCAGCTCAGGGTCTCTCCAACTGACGAGTGTAAACCAGGACGGAAACGCGGTCGTGGTGTGCCAGTGTTGGGAGGAGCAAGACCCAAATATTTCCAAATCCAGTTTAATTCAGGGAACGTGTAAATACATCAAACATATCCTCGTCCAACCGTGAACAAACATCATGGCACCAGAGTAGGCACTTGTCAAGTTTAATGCCCTTTTCTACCACACAACTGCATATATGCTCTTCATAATAAATGGTTTCGGTTGACACGGTGAACAACACAGGGGAAGAAACAACACAAGGGAAATATTACGGTATGTTTATTAACACACGAAACCACACTACAATAGGAGTGAGTGAAAAGGAAAATATGTCAACAAGATAAAACAAAAGTTAGGAGATGAAAAATATGTATTGAACGAACTAACTGCTATGCAAAAGCAGCCGACAGCAGCTACAAAGCAAAAGTTGAGCAATCAAATTCACAATACCCACCATAAATAAGAAGATATCTGATGGACCTTGCACCACCGCGTTCGGGGCAGTGCACAATAAAGCTTAGGCCCGATGTACCGATTTCTCGAGGGTTCGCTAACCACACGGCATATCACGAAATATGACAGAGACAATTTTGCACGCTAAAAGATCCTCCAAAATTGTATACAAGTCGATATGAGGAAAATGCCAGCGAGAAGAAGCATAATATCTCAGATTGGACAAACCAATAATAAAACTCTATACAAACAAAACTATCAGAGGTTATATGCTTTCATCGACAAGCCAATGCTAATTAATGCACTTGCTACATCAATCAACATATAACTAGAGGTCTGCATCTGTGACACATTTCCTGTTGTCTACCAATTGCAATTGCTGTACCACTGGGGTCTGGTGCAGAAGAATCTGTGTCCTAAAGATAAGTTGGAAATAGGGAACCCGAATCCGTGAACAGATGATCGCATTGATAATAATGTACCCGCGTCTCGCAATCGACATGCGGGGATTTGTCTCCAGCAAACTAGGTCAAAACATCACGGCCTGCTCACACTCCACCCATTCCTCATCAGTGTGGCCAACCTGGACTTCGTTCATCTTAACCCTTTGTGGAATCGTGCAAGTGGACGAAATACATAGAGTATGTTCACGCGAATCCTAGCTGCTCGAACGTGAATTACGTTGAGAATATAGGCCATATGTCATCACACATAAACTTTAGACTGTACTGTGAAACGCTTTTGGTTCATATTGCATTTGACTCTTCGTTATGTCTCTCGATTGCAGCTACGACGGCCGCTGAGACTACAACAGAGGAGGAGAGTAAGTATGCTATTTGGATACTGGAAGGTTCCAAACCGGATATTTGTTCAATGCTGATCTTTTCATCCTTCTTTCATTGCACTTTTACATTATTATTTTATATCTGCCTTCTTGCAGTTTGCATCGAACACGTTTCATGTCCCACTCATAAAACAGCAGCTCCACTTAATCTGTGGAAGTGTCTTCTGCACGAATTATTCTGCTGAATTCGGGCGTAATCACCAAGGGTTTGATAAGTTTAGGTACGGTGTCAACAGTAACCAAAGCTAATCGAAAAGAAAAGTCCACACCGAATGAGACACTATGTGCGCGGCGATACAGGACGTGATCTTATGATATTGGCCAGTGGCAAATATCAGTTTGGGAAGAAATAACACCTGACTCCAATTTTCGATATCAACTTGTCATACATGACGGTTTGCTTTTTATTAGCAATTGTATTGAAATCCAGCATTTCAACAGGGCAGATATGCTGGCAAATGTGGCTCGAGCTCACGAACGTTAGCTATAGCATTAGCGTAGTTTGGGATTAATTTCCCGGTTTCGATGACTGGTAATTGTTGGTGTCACACCATTCTGCTCGCTGTTCTGACGATCTCCGGGAGACCAATAATCAAGTGAAGCTGTCCGAGGTTCCAATCGGGGCATGTGAAAAGGCGCCAGTTTATCTAATCGGTGACGGATGGAATAGGCACTAAGCACAGCTGACTACAGTTGTCATGAAACCCAGCTCGTTCAGGAAGTTCGGAAGCATTGTTCCCCGACAATGGCGTCTTTTGCCACCGATGCCTCCAAGTCATTCGCAGCCCTATTAGAGCTAGTCCAGCAAACCGGTAGATCGCATCACAGCAATTGAAGTCGAATAACTAGAAGTACTTAAATTTATAGAAAAAATATATATCTGATATGGCGGCGTCCGTATCCGGATTTAACTGCCATAGTGACGTTCATGGGGACAGTCACAGGACGCCTGCGCCTACAGAGGGACCATGGGTGGCTTGCGCTGCACCACCCGTAGCTCCACCCACACACCCCATTTCCGGTGTAAACCCGAAGGAATAAGACCGGGAGGCATGTGAATGGGAGCCACGTTTCATCAACGGAGCCAGCCCACACTCCTTCAACAAGCAGAACGGAAGCATTCCGGCCCAATTGAGAAATCATACACACCAGACGTACACGAGGCGGTGGCTGGACCGTAGCCCGTTCCACACAGGATGGAACCACTCTTTAAGCCTAGCACCGTCACGAGGCGGATGCACGCCGTCCAATCTAGCAACGACCAACTGTCTCCTGGAACCAGTATGGAGGAGGTAGTGGGTAATAGACAGGTAGGCACCTTGTCAACATTCACATCAGGCACATCCACACAGGGGAGCTCAAGCAAAATCTGCTTCTGTAATGCAGGGTTACTCATCACGCAAGCAAACGTACCACATACGCCGCCTTATTGACCTGGAATATTACATTAAATGGGAACATACTCATGGTGCTTCTGTTCCGCATACAATAGTGCCTTCTCCGGCACCTGAGAAACCGCCCTTTTGAGTAATTCACGGAATTCGCATCGGTCCAATTTGCCTTGGATTCGCTAAACCTGAAATCAACATGACTTTGTCATAAACTCACCTTCTTCATGTTCTGGTACTATTATTTTTGGTTTGCTCGAATGTCGTTTTACTGCACTAAGTTAACCGTACAAAAACGTTATGAAGATCCTCGTGGAATTCATTCGGTATACATATATACATAGACTGGCGTCATCTGTGTCCAATGGCAGTTCGAATACAACATATGTACATGCGTTTATCCAAACTTAACTGTGAGCTGTCAAAAACTGGATGGAGACACATTCGACATCACCATCATCAATAGTACGACAAACGTGTATGGGTTTCGTTTGGAGGTCAGGCTAACAACCACTTTCGCAGGCATGAGAATAACTACCCAATACGAACTGTTGATGTTTTCTTCCACATTTAGACGTAACTGCCTTAAATCTTGGGCATCCATATTTGAAGGAACCCGAGGTGGCAATAGTAAAGCAACTGCTAGGTAGAACGATGACTAGACTACTGGTACAGTGAAATAGTGTGCACTTAAGTGTTGCCCTCTACATGTACAGTCTGGTTTGAGTAGCTGATGTGGGAGATCACACAGCATGCGAATGCGATACGGTGTCCGCTTCTGGCTCTCTGTGTCTCCGACCGGTTCGGTCATGTGCTGCCCGAGGCATGTGCACCTACTCAAAGAACGATTGATGCGCAACCTTTGGTATTGACAAGTGACATCAAATAAGTCACGCTGCCCACTGTCAAACATGTGACTTTCCAAACAGTGTTCGCATTTAGTGTGCAAATGTCCAAGTACTCAACCGTTTATACCTACCGACCTGTACGCTACTGTGGCCATAAGCTATTTGCTAACGGTCTACATCGTACGTTCCGAGTGCAGCCCATTCGGTACTCATAAAACCGTTGTCGCTATGCCTCGATTCATTTCCGATGTTATATAATAACACACTGACGTACCAATCCCGTTAGATGCAACCTTTTACTTAACCCATCCAAAAGATTGGCCATGTGCAATGCAACTTCAGGTAGGCGTCTCTGCACGTCTGCCTTCCATTCCGTGATGAGCACGTGTGTTTTAATAAGCCCCGGTAAATTCAGTATGGCTGAGGGATAACTGGAACCATAACTATTCTCACTCTCATCACTAGCCTGCGGAGTGGAACATGAAATGGCGACATCATGATAACCGCTAGTCGGTTAATTGTCGGGATTGTTCACTTGACATAGATTTTCCAGGGAAATTTCTCTTCGAATGCGTAGTCCAAATTGGTCACACGAAGGACAATCGTTGAGCATTGTGTTACAAATATCAACTTTGACATTTTATGCGTACCGTAAACGGCCAAGCGACAATAACCGTTTGATTCAAACGTATCCATCGAACTGGAAACATATCTAATAATTTGCCACCCTAGCATTGATCCGTAGCACGCACACAAATCGCTCGGAAATAACGCACTCACATCAATTACGAATGAGCTCATGGATGGACTGAACCATTATTCTGCGATGCACCGGCTCTCTAAACATCATGTAAGTTAGCACTGAGCAGCCAGTCAAGCTACGGTTAAACAATACCATGGGGCTGACATAGTGATGTGAATCGCGGCCGAATAATAATACGAAGATGAAGATGTCATAACTCACTCTCGGTATGTAACCATACTAGACACCGCTTGAGGAGATAGCAAGAATAGCATAGCATAGATCATGATGAGTACAATATCGTAATGGGCAACACGTGAATTCATCGCAAAATACAACCGAGTTAAATAAGCCTAAAGTAGTTAGGCTACCTGTGGATCATCCGTTCTATGCAGGTGCAATAAAGATACCCCATTGCACCAAGTCAGTAGTTAATCATTCTAGAATGAAACTGCACCCAAGCCCGACTTCAGTATGAGCGATGTTCAGCTGGAAATATAGCTACACTCATTATTGTGACTAATATATGAAACAGAACATGTAGCATCAACATCAGCATGTTAATCGCTAGTCACTGACTTGCCGGGATTATTCAGCTTACACGGACGAGCCAACGTGTGGACATTTGCAATAAAAGTAGTTAGGTCTTGAACACCGATTTTCTAAACTGCATTCCAAAGCGAGGAACGGTTGTAGAGTACATAAATTCCAGGAATAATTGTTGATCACTACACCCAATTGTTCATTCCAATGTACGAACGATTGTGGAATATTATGAGCAGCAACCGCTTGGTAGCCAGGAGTTGACGCGACCCATGTACGCTAACGACGTCACCATTACCGCTGGCTTGAGAATGGACGACCAATCTAAGGGATTTATTAGTGTGTCTTTGAAACCGTCACACACACTCATACATACACCCAAACACGTTAGTGGCCTTTCAACTAGGCATATAGAGGAGGGCCTATGTGTTGCGAACATTGCAAATGAGCAACACTCACATGGACGCTTGATGACTATTGGAGGTCACCCAATACGATTGGTACTCTGGCCGGACACTAGGTCTACGTGGATTGTGTGGCCCTGGTGATTGAGATTGCAAAGCACTGACGTTCGAGAAGAACAAACGTGTTCCCATGTATTTGAGCTCCAGTCACTGTGTGGGGATACTGACATCTAGGAAGGAAAGCTCCTACAGTGCGTGGTAACCTGTATTCATGCGTCTGGTTATTGAGGTTGTAGTCTGTCTGAGCGTTAACAACTGCGAAAGGTTCGCATCAATGCACTGGACTCAGGTGGGCTCACAGTTGTGCATCATACATCACCATCCTAATGGGAGAACAATTATCCTCAAGAACCCTAATAAGGTGAATGTGTAACACTTCCATTTGTAGGTAAGAATAGCAGCCAAAGTTTCCATGTTACGAGCATTTGAATGTCGTACAGTAAGTGCGCAATAAACGACAATTTGCCGGCAATCTCAAGCTTTACCTCCTTTCCGGTTGGCTCACTACTGGTATCCTTGTGGGTCCACGCATGTTGGCCTAACTTTGATTCGCACCATCTATCCATCAGGATGCATGGAACACTGCGTTTGAGCGTCGTAGTAATTCTACATCATTCTCGGCCATTGAGAGCACCTCAGGCATAACACTGCGCTGGAACAAGTGTATGTCACGACTAGACATACAAAGGAGACCGCAGTAGTATGTGCGGCAGAGAGGTCGAGAGAGTACTGAGCAATTCAAAGTAAACGAAGTCGATATGCTTAGATTAATGGTGTATAGTTATAGGTAACGTGGTCTAGCCCAACTGCGGTGAAGAAGCATCACGAATGCAACATCAGCCTCAGCATGAGGCAAAACTAGGTATTTTACACATGCATGATTTGGCGGCGTCCGTATCCGGATTTAACTGCCATAGTGACGTTCATGGGGACAGTCACAGGACGCCTGCGCCTACAGAGGGACCAAGGGTGGCTTGCGCTGCACCACCCGTAG